AGTTGATTCTGTTAATCAAGCAGTTATTGAATAGAAATTTGATTTTCTAATCACAGAGGAACTTTTATCAATAAAAGTTGAACTTGTTTCTCAAATCTAAATCAATTACCAAGATTATTGATTTCTTAGGCATAAGACATCTTGATCTTACAATCTTTTGGTTTCTAATGCTTAATGCAACATTTAATTGAACTAGATCTAAGGAATTAGAATGATTGAATTGAATGTTAGATTCATTGAGTTAAGGAATTAACCTTTGATTAATATATCGTGAAACTGATTGTCATTCCATCTAAATACTTGAAAGTTCAGAACTTTATTGAATCAACACTGAAGTTTTGGTGAAACAAGTCCCTAACTATGTTTTCTACATCTATTAAATACACATTTCATGGTCTTTGTTTTGTTCTGTTTTCTGTGTTTAATATTTGTTGCTTTAAATCTCAAACTTTATCTGAATTTCATTAGGCTCAACTAATTGTGGATTTATGAAGTGATATATGAGAATTCTATTCCCTGCAGATGATATATGGGACTCAAACATAGTTCTAAAAATTTTATAACTTGCTACAATAACACTAGTACACTTGCTAGTCAAAATTACTTATGTTGAGAGAGTGACAAACTCGAGACAAAATACCACCACAACCAAATTCTTTTATCATCTTATTTTGCCCAAAAAATATATATTATAAACAAAACAGCTTGCATCATATTTGAAAATCTTGATTGTTTTATTCTCACTATTTATGTCCCACTTGTGCTGGTTAGTTATATTATTCCATATTTTTAAGGAGCTAATGTTATTAAAATTTTAATATTGAAGTTTTGATCTTGATTTTTAGTTTGTATCTTCATTTATTTTTATTATTATTATTATTATTATTATTGTATCACTAAATGTTAATTTCATCTTTATTATACCTTTTTCATTGATAAATGTACTATAACTCTTTCAATTTTTATGATTTATTTTATTGTAACAATTAAAGGATTTATGAGTACTTACATTACTTTAAGCTTTGTGAAATGATAATATTTTTATTGTAATTAATTAAAAATTAAAATGTATATATATTTATACATTTAATTAAAAATTAAAAATCAAAGTTATAATTAAATACACTAAAATAGAATTCTAACATAATAATTTATATAAACTCTACCTTTTTATGTTATAAATTGTCAAAGTTTGTGTACCAACGTTACCTAAGGCATTGTGCATGGAAAGATTAAACCTTACTCTTAAAATAAATAAATTATATAATATAATTTTTGTTTTTAAAACCTAAATCACGATTCATTTCCACTTAATTACATAATTTACTTATCAATTAAATTATATTTTTAATTTATTCTATTATTTGTAATTTATCTATTAATTAAATTGACTCATTTAATTAACGTAAAGATTTATAATGCTAATGTATAGTGTCTCAACTTTTATGCGTTATATGTACCTGCTACTGTTGACTTCATGCGATGTCAATATTTTAAATTAAATAATATCTTATTTTTAAATCAATTAAATATTTCACACTTTAAAATATATTATTTCAAATAGTTTTGCTTTAATTATCATACAATCAATTTATTAATTAAGTTAAAAAAAATTATCATATTATCGATACAGTAATTTATAATTCATCTTATATTAATTGGTTTACTATTTCATTGATTAAGTTAAATGTATTCTCTTAAACATTTCTCTCCCCACATAATAAATAAGGAACCAATTAATTTATTGATTAAGCTAAGTGTAACAATTTGTGACATTAATGTGTAACAACTCTATTTTTATGTATTATAAATTATCAAAACATATGTGTACGTATGTAATCTTACCTTGTATGCATTATCAATGTATTTAAAAATAAAATCTTACTTCTAAAAGTAATGAATTATATATTTCCTTAATTTAATTAAGGTTTTTTTTACATATATATGTCTAAAAATTTTCCTCTCTCAAATCATTAAATAATATAAAAATTTATTCTAAAATCAAAATAATATTCATTCCATTTATTTATATAATTTATTAAACAATTACAGAATATTTCCTTTTTATCTATCTCATCCTATTAATTAATCAAAATATATTGCATTTTCATATTCTGCTATCTAATTTAATTTACTAATTGATTAAATTAAAATTAAACCACTTAACTAACGCAACAATTTATAGCATTATTGTTAGATCGATGTATTTTTATATATGTATTATTTTTTTTGAATTGTGTTGTGTATGCTTAAAGTGTATGGAGTTTCATAAGTAGGAATATGAATGCGAAAGTTGTATGATTGTTAATTTAAAGGCTGGGTAATTGCAATGTAGAGCGGTTATTGTATTTGATATCATTGAATGTATTAGATGTGTAACATCCTCAATTTCCTATAAAAATAAATAAATAATTGTTTTTTATAGTAAAGGGAAAAATAAAATAATTTTTGTTCTATTTCATGGATTTAAGAATTGAATAACATAAAATTTACATTTCTTCTATAAAAATTTTATAAAATTATACAGTATTTAAAACTATCAAAGGAATAATTTTAAGAATTTAAAGTAATAAATAAAACTTAAATTTACATCTATCAAATTATGAATTACAACAAAATTCGCCAAGCAACATAAATTCTAAAATTTGACATTTAAGAAATATTTACATAACTTGGTCAAAATGAAATGTAATTAGGATAAATATTTCTCAAAACTACTATAGTCCTTACAGAGCAATCTTCCTTATCATATCACTGAATTATGATCCTAAAATAGACCAATCATTTCGATCCTTTCACTTTCATTACCTGAAAAATATTAGAAAGGGTGAGTATCTCCTGCCCTACTAAATCTTTTATATGATATAAATTTTCATAATACATAAAGTATCGACTAACACATTTCTAACATACATTAATTAACAATAACACTTAAAATCATACAAATCCTTATCATCACAGAATACACACCTAACAATTAATCAATCATATTTACAGATATTTGTGACAAGTATTCTTTACACTACTTTGTACTTTGTAACACTTTAAATTTAATTTCAATTAAATAATAATTTCACAAATTCGAATAACCAAATTTTCATAAGATATTTCAAAATAAGAGAAATGTTACAAATTAATATCAAATAACTGTTATAGGACTAGTTCAATTACAACATTTTCAAAATAAAATCTAAGTCCTATAACAGTCCATCCATTCCTTCACTGAGTCTGGTGCTGATCGTCTTAATTACCTGAAAAATGAATATAAGGGTGAGTACTCTACACTATTCAATACACAACTATCATAAAGTCTCACCTTGCTTATACTTCCCGCAAAGTACACATAAACAACATTTTCATTTCAATTTGTCATTGATGCACTCATGGCACCAAACAATCATATATATATGAAATTTACAAACAATAGTCTCGTGCACTCACAGCACGCCAGTAACGCTCATTGTGGCACTGTGATCACAGATTTTACTATGGATGGTCGCTGGTTACCCCTGCCTTACGGATACCACGTGGGCAGTCACGGGTCGCTCAACAAATGTAGTGGTCATAGGTCTAGTCAGGAAGAGAGTGTTTGACCTGTGGTGCATCTGTTCAACAATTGGTGTCACCACCACTCTTTCCTCCCCAAGGTATTTCTATTGTCCTCATCTTTCACACCCCCAGTGTATCGCTGAACCATTCACAGCACATTATAACGGCGCCAACACGCCCCATTCACACACACAATATTCATGCTTACACACGGCACACAGCCTATATTTAATTCATGTTACATGGTACACAGCACACATTTCATCCACAACATACGACACATAACCTTCATTTATTTATTGATCAATGGCATTCCATCACACACAATCACCCTCTTGACCGTCACCTTATTCAACTGTCAGTAATCCACACACATCCTTATGCTTCCATCCTTCTTCTTCACCAAGAGCATTGGTGCTCCCCACGGTGACACACTCGGTCTCACAAACCATTTCTGTAATAGGTCTTCCACTTGCTTCTTGACCTCTGCCAATATCACTGGTGACATCCTATAAGGTGCCACAAAAATTAGGCTTGCTCCCAGAATGAGGTTGATAGCAAATCTATCTTCCTCTCAGGTGGCAGCTCAGAAACATCTTCGAGAAATACCTCTAAGAAATACTTTACTACTGGAATATACTTTGGCTCCACCATGCTTTCGGCCTCCATCGAAAACATCACCATAAAGGCCTTGGCGTTCACTGTGTTCTCCCGTGCACCTTGACTCATAAGTCTTGGGGCCTCGGTCATTGCTGCACCGAAGATCAAGGTCTTCTCTCTACAATCCACTAGTACATGGTTGACAGCCAGCCAATCCATTCCCAGAATTACATCCAATTGCAAAAGACGTAAACAGATTAAGTCCACCTCAAACTCCCTACCATGTACCATTAGCGAACACTCCAGGCATACCCATCACGTCACAATTGGCTTACCCATAGGGATAGTCACCACCACATTACACGGCAATTCAGTTACATACAAATTCAAACTCTTCACACAGTCCACAAACACAAAAGAGTGCATAGCACCCAAGTCAAACAGCACATCAAGTAATCTGCCTTTAATTACACATTTACCTTGGATCAGTTCCTTTGACTGTGAAGCCTCTGCCTCACTCACAGCAAATACTCTTCCAGGGATGCTTGGCTTCGGCCCTGTGCTCCCTCTCGACTCAGGCCTCTGAGCCGTACTAGTACTGTCACTCCTCTTGGCGGCCCAGCACACATCAGCAGTGTGCCCCAACTTCCTGCAGTTGCCACATGTTGGCCCTGGCTGTGGGCAGTCGCTCACCATGTGTGGCCCTCTACACCTAAAGCACTTGACTGGCCCTCTCAAAGAGCTTGATCCTGAACCACTCCTACTACTCTTTTCTTGAGATGAACTCCCTCAAGATTGAGAGTTGTTTGAACCCGAGTATAGTCCCTTGAGAACCTAGGGGGTCTTCTATCTTACCTCATTGGGCTGGTTCTCCTAGTGTCCACCGTCTTCCTTCTTGAGTTAGCTTTGAAAATTCTGCTCTTGCCCACCAGGGTGGGCAAGTCTGTCAGCTGAAACACACTGACCGCAGCTCGGATGTCCGGCCCCAATTCATGCTCAAACTGAGCACACATATCCTCCTCTCCATCACCATGCTGATAATGAGGCCAGTACTTCATCAGCTCCTGGAACTTAGCTGCATATTCCCCTACAGTCATACTTCCTTGCTTCAGTTCAAGGAACTCTCTAGCTTTCTGTTTCCTTAGGTCCCAGGGAAAGTAGTTCCCTAGGAAGATGGTCTTCAATGATTCCCACTGGATATAGCCATCTTCCTGTGGCAGGGTCAGACCAGCAAACCTCCACCAGTCCTCAGCCTCCCCACACAGCAAGTAGGTGATGTAGGTAACCTTGTTCTCCTCACGGCATCTCATTGCATTGAAGATCTTCTCCACATCAGCCACCCACCGTTGAGCTCCTTCGGGGTCAAATCCACCCTCAAACTTTGGAGGATCATGCCTAGTGAAGGTAGATAACCCTCGATACTCAGCCGGCTCTCTGCCTTGATTGTGCACCATGGCTTCCAGAATTTGAGCCATGTGTTCCATGAGGTCATTTGAGCCTCTAGCTCCTCTACCTCTACCTTTACCAGCCATAATCTAAGCTTCACAATTTAACAGTCACAATCCAACACATTAAATCAATAATACATTTATAATTCAAGCAAACAAAACAATTAACACTTATCTTGGATGCTTCAGCCTGATACCCCAGTCCAATTTGGATGAACTGCTCTGATACCAAAATTGTAACACCTTAAATTTAATTTTAATTAAATAATAATTTTTCAAATTTGAATAACCAAATTTTCATAAGATATTTCAAAATAAGAGAAGGGTTACAAATTAATATTAAATAACTGTTACAGGACTAGTTCAATTACAACATTTTCAAAATAAAATCTAAGTCCTATAGCAGTCCATCTGTCCCTTCACTGAATCCGGTGCTGATCGTCTTGATTACCTGAAAAATAAATGTAAGGGTGAGTACTCTATACTACTCAATACACAACTATCATAGAGTCTCACCTTGCCTATACTTCCCGCAAAGTACACATAAACAGCATTTTCATTTCAATCTGTCATCAATGCACTCATGGCACTAAACAATCATATATATATGAAATTTACAAACAATAATCTCGTGCACTTACAACACGCCAGTCACGATCATTGTGGCACTGTGATCACAGATTTTACTATAGATGGTCGCTGGTTACCCCCGCCTCACAGATACCACGTCGGCAGTCACACGTCGCTTAAAAAAGGTAGTAGTCAGAGGTCTAGTTAGGAAGAGAGTGTGTGGCCTGTGGTGCACCCGTTCCACAATCGGTGTCACACTCTTTCTTCCCTAAGGTATTTCTACCGTTCTCATCTTCCACACCCCAGTGTATCGCTGAACCATTCACATCACATTATAACGGCACCAACATACCCCATTCACATACGCAATATCCATGCTTACACACGACACACAACCTATATTTAATCCATGTTACACGGTACACAACCCACATTTCATCCACAACATATGGCATATAGCCTTCATTTATTCACCAATCAATGGCATTCTATCACACACAATCGCCCTCTCGCTACAGCAAAAAACTCAGAGAAAACTGCACTCTGGTTTCTGTAGAATCTCACTACAGCGAGACTGCACCCAGAAATGTACCCCAAACTGTCGCTAGAGTGAGATATTATCGCTACAGCGAGAAGGCGACAGACGCCTGTCTTTCACCTAGGGTCCTCTCGCTACAGCGAAACGTCTCTCGCTGCAGCGAGAATGCCCTACACCAGAACTTAGCATATTTTCCTTCAGTCTAATTCCAGCCACAAACTCATATCATAATAAGGTCACATACATATATTTACATCACTATCAAGTAAATCAACAAACATATGAATATATATATATATAATTTAAAAAACATTACAAAATTGGGGCGTTACATGCTTCATAATGCATGTATTATACCATATCAATTAATGTGTCATAATACATGTGAACCAATTGTACTCATCGATGTATTATAACACATATATCATAACTACATCAACCTACATGTTACAATGTAAGCATTATAATCATACGAGTAATACACTAATCCATATTTGTTCAAAGGGCAAGTGTACCCATCGAGAAATAATATAGGATTTTTAAATTAAGTTTCTGAAATATCGTCCCACAAGGATTCTTTTCCAATTACTAAGAATTTCCTAATTCAATTTTTTAAGCTTCAAAGATACGAGATTAATTAAAAATAAGAATTTATAAAATCAATTATAAAACTAAGAACTAAGAATAAGGAATACAAATGCACGTCTTGGTTGAACTTATTAGAGAGGAACCTAGGGCATATGAGTTTTCTCATTCAATCCTTTATGTTATTTTTCTATTTAACTCTAAATTCAATTTTCTTGTGATTACCAATCATTCATACGAATACTATTAATACCCAATGGTCATGCAATATTAATATTCTTTTCTCTAAATTAACATCCTCAATAGTCATACAAGACATCAATTTAAGAAAACTTAAGGAATCTATGAACTTGTTAATTTAATAACGATTAGAAGAGAAAGATTGGTTTGGTCCACTTAATCCTTTGATCCACTCTACGTAGCTATATAAACCCCTTAGAGTAACAATGCAATGTTACAAACCCTAAAATTCTAAAACCCTAGTTTTTCAATCTTGATTTTCTTACTCGTTTTTTATCACGTCCTTTTTTATTATCTGCTACACCATCATTTACGAGTAGGATTACATCAATTTTGCACTCCAATTCTAGGTAATTCTTCTTCTAATTTTGAATTTTCTGATTAGGGTTCTTAAAGATATGATTTAGAAAAAATTTGGGAACTGAAAATTGGAAAGTTCTTTGAAATTATTGTTTCAAATATATGATTGAAGGTTGATAGGGTTGATTCCATGCTGAAATTATTATTTTTAACTAAGATTTGACACTGCTTTAGGGTTTTCTGTGTGAACATGTTGTTGTCTTTTGTGCTTTTATATAGGACTTACCCTGTGGGATTATTTTTGAGAAATTCGTGCATTTTGGGGATGAAAATTGCTTGAATTCCATTCTACACCAACTTGCAACAATTTCTAAGCAATTAGATGTGAAGAGATAAGTTTTCATATTGAATTTTAAGAGTACTAATGTGATATGCTTGAGTGTTAGAAGTGTGTGATCATGATTATTTGCTGCAGTGTACTAAATTGTTCTGAATTTCACAATTTTGTTTATCATTGGACCTGTACATCTCTTATCATATCACTTTGCATGATTAGTACTCTAAACATGCTGATTAGGAGTTGCATTCAGCCTGAATAGTATTGAAATAGAGCTAAAAAGAGATTGAAATTGTAGCAATATTTTCTACAAATTTATCAAGTTCTGAAACTCAATTATATCATTGTTTTGTGTCTGATTTTAGCTTAATAATGGCAAACATACCAAGAGGAACTCCAAGATCAAAGAGGGGCAGATTCGTAGTTGATCATTCTTCAAGGACTATACCTTATCATGACCCAACATCTTGAGGAGGAAGATTGTACATAATCAAAATTTTGACTTATAAGAAGGAAAACATCCTAAATTTTCTGAACAAATTCAAAAGAGAGGGTGGGAGAACTTCACCACTGTAGCTGGGAAAGGGTCCAAGGATATTACTCAAGAATTTTTTGCCAATGCCTTAAGGACCAAGGGAGACCACCTGTCTTATGATCACACTGCTGTTAGAGGAATAGTAGTGGACTTCTCTGCTGAAAACATCAACAAGGTGCTAAAGATTGCTATTGAAAAGGAAGAAGGACAACAAGATTTTTCTAATTTTGGAAGATATATGGATAAGGATTACACTAAAATCCTCCATAGAATTGGCAGACCAGGAACTACATGGGAACTGAGTGCAAGAGATGAGGCTAGAAATATCTCTACACCCAAAAATATTCTCACCAAGAATCTGCTGCCTTTTGCCAAAATATGGAGTATTTTCATATTCATTTCATTCATGCCGATAATTCATAGTTCTGCCCTTGCTGTCAAGAGAGCTAAGCTTATTTTTGCAATCATTAGTGACTTCTACATTAATGTGGGAGAAGTGATCAATAGCAACATCAAGGCAATCCTAAAAATAAAGAAAGATTCTTTAGGATTTCTAGGATTAATCACTTTACTTTGTGAAGATGCAAGGGTAAATTTTGAAGATTTCCATAAGAAAATCAAGGCAACTCCTCCCATTACAGCAGCTACGATCAAGAGATTTATGCCACTACCCTAGTCACTATTGCCTCACCTGTCCCTACAAAGTACAAGAAGGATTCTCCTTTCAAAGTTAAAGCACAGCTGCAGAAAATGTTGGATAGACAAGACTCTTTGGCTGAAAGATAGAATGCTATACATGAGAGCTATAAAGTTGGGGTTCTACTACTGGAAAATATAATGATGAACATTGGTAAGAAGATGGGCATGATAAAAGAACAGCTTTATGAGTCAGAGGTTGAAAATGTCCAATGCTTGAGAGCCACTACTTTTAACAAACTCCCTCTCTTCAACTTCAACACTCCTCCAAGAGCTGACGTGGATGAAAGTGATGATAGTGAAGAAGAAGATGAAGAGGAGAAGGAGAGTTCAGATGAAGAAGATGCAGAAGAATAGATTAGGAATTTAGTTTTTTTGCTGTTTTTCTTTAAAATTTAGTTTGTGTAATTTTTAGTACTTAGGAACTTTATTTTCTACATTTTTAGCTAGTAATTTTCAGTTGTTCAGAATAATTTTAACTTTTCAGTTGTAATAAAGTACAATTTTAATTTGGTTTTATATTTCTGTATTTGCAGAGTATGTCACTATCGCACAGCACCCCAAGCACATGGATTTTGACACTTGCACAAGCTGCCATGAAAGGGGGTGAATTATGTACCACTTGTTCATGTGTTTAGCTTCACAATGCACTAAAAAATTTCCAGAAAAACACAAAAATGTTAGTTTAGATATTGAGCTGCATTTTTGTGAATACACTGCATATAATTGAAAATTCTGTGAATTCTGAATTTTTTTTTAGTTGTTTTTCACATCCTCACATGATGATCACACTTGTAATTTTCAAAATGTGGTAGTCTTGCAATGTTGTACATATAGTTCTGAAAAAAGTGGATTGTGAGCTTGATTGATTGACATTTCCACTTTAAATTCCTTGGTGAGACTTGAACCTCATGCATAAGCATTTCTTGATGTGTGAAATTAATCTCATATTTTGCTGCACCTCTAGAACCTGCATTGTTTCTTAGTTGAATATGTAATGTGTAGATCTCACATACATGATGGAGGCCTTCTTTGATCATGCTTAGTTAGCCTAAATGAACCCCCTTTTATGTTGAGAATCATAATTCACCACTTTTGAGCCTTTAGCCTTTTCTTTGGTAAAACTTCAACATAAGCCCTGTTGGAAAACCATAAGACCTATCCAAATTAGGAAGAGACAGTTTGACTTTAATCAAAGATGAATTTTAAATTTAAGTTTAAGGTGGCATCTTCTTTTGCATTGCTTAAGGACAAGCAAAGTTCTAAGTTTGGAGTAGGACAGT